TTACAGCTCTGCCCTACCATTACAACACACCTGGCATCTGGCCTGTATAAGGTGGACCTGTGGTGTGGCCCAAACACCCAGAAAGCCCCACAGAAAATCTTTCATCCTAGTTTGTATTATTACACATTTAATGTCAAATGAAGCTCAGAGACAGGAGTTATTCAGGAAACAGAAACCACAGGTTTTACACAGCTGCACTTCATATCATTACTGAATCTTAATTTTGCCCCTTATCTGGAAAAGAGGGCCTTCATTTCTCTGTTTAAACATTCAATAAAAAGTTTCAGATGCCAAATGTATTTTCTCAGTCATGTCATCATAACTTATTGCTCTTTATTACTAAATCTGGCTGCTCAGGGCATCTACAGCTCAGTTACTGTACTAGAAAATATTTTGCGTGCCAGATGTTGTCTAAATTTCACAACACTGTTAGGCCATTATTGTGTAAAACTGTGGCTCCTTGCATCAGGCAGACAAAACCATATGTAGCCCAAAAAATAATGTCACATACCATGCCACGTGCTCCAGGAAATCGCTCAAAAGTCCTTTTTATTATTTTTAAACAGGTCGTGCAAGTGATGAACACCACTAATACTGTTTAGACAGCAGTTATTCAAGAAACAGAAGCCGCAAGTGTTAAAAAGCTGAAGTCTTACGTTTTGCTCCTTATATCAAAAAGAAGATCCTCATTCCTCAGTTTGAACATTTGAGGTCCTAGTTCAACCTTTCTCGTTCATGCCATCAAAACTAAATATGCTGTTTAGTTTGGATAAACTTCACAAAGTGCATTCAAATCATGATAGCAGACAGATTTTAATCCTAATTTGCGATACTCTAATCACTTTTAGCACAGTTTGGCACTTATGTGTGCCAGATGCGGCCCAAATGTAATAGAAACGTGGACATTAAGCCATATAAGGTGTTACTGTGGCGTGTGTTTGTTGTCGTTTAAGAGTAATACATGTTTAACCTAAATTAAAGTTGAAAGGCAGTAGTTCTTCAGGAAATAGAAGCCGAAAGTTTTAAACGGCAGCACTTCATGCCTTTATTTTAATTCTAAATGTAATCTTTGGCCCCTAACTTACAAAGAAGACACTGATTTCTTGACTTGAACTTATATTAAAAAGTAGCCCTTCCTTGGTCACGCTATTATAACTTAACGATGTTTATTTATTGTAACTCTCACAAAGTGCACTTAAATCATGATAACAGACACATTTGGGAATAATCTGGGATACTTTGGCCACTTATACCAAAGTTAGGCGTGAATATGTGCCAGATATGTTCCAAATGTCAAAATACTGGACACTAGGCCGGCATAAGGTGGTGCTGCGGTCTGGGTGTGTCTTTCTTGAAGAGTGATTTTTATCTGATGTTAAAGCTGAGAGACCGCAGCTAATCAGGAAGTATGAGCTGCAAGTCTTAAACAGCTACATGCCATGCATTTATTTTAGTTCTAAAATGTAATTTTTGTTCTCTAACTTACAAAAACGGCCCTCATTTCTCACTTCAGAGGCGTACTTAGCCATTTAATAACCATGTCGGCCAAATACAAAAGTCTAATTGTCTTTACAACATGTGAACTGAGCAGTTTTAATGCTTACCGTAAGGCTGTGTTTAGTAAAGAAAATACTTTGTTTAACGAGCATGATTTTATGTGTTACCTAAGTAGTGCCTTTATCGTGCCGCAATATAGCGCTTATTAAGGAAGCACTGCAGCCACAAGTGTCGAACTACACGTCTCATGGTGCTGCTGCACAAACTTCATTTTTTCATAAAAACCAAAGTGACAAACTTGATTTCTGCAAATTCTGCTGTTAATATTTCCTCCTACTTTTAGCTTTTATTCTCAACTTTATTTCATCATCGGAGGAAGGTGATGGTAAAGTGATTTTTATCTGTGTTACTATATTCTTGAAATGGCTCTAAAGTGTGAAAAAGTATTGCTGCCTGTGGTGTACCAACCTGTAAAATGGAGGAACTTTCCATTTTCTAGCCCTTTGTCTTTGTTAGAATCAAACATCTACACATTTCTAATTACACCCCACAGTTTGAGGAACTACTTCGTTTAGTTTCCCTCGACTGTTTCTATTCTTTTATTCGGGTCCAGGAAACACGTGATTGAATTGGTCCCTTATTTTAAACGAGCACGATCTGCCTACACCGGATTAGCTCATCCTTTGATCGATATTTAGACGACTTAAATTTGTTTTTGACTGTTTAATTTGTTATTGAATTCCCTAAACTTTGATTTAGGGAAATCAAAGTTTGTGATAATCTAAACTAGCTTTAAATGTCTGAAAATATAAATGTTTTAAACTGATCTTGAAATGGTCTACTGGTCTAAATGGTATGCAATGCTTTCAATTGTAGTTGGTTTAAACTGGATTCCCTGTGGTCTAAACTGGTACTTAAGTTTTTAAAAAAGCTTTTTGTTGAACCGTTTTCTTTTTTAATCTTTGCGACCGCTTTTAATACTTCGCTTTGGCGCACACTTATCAGCTTTAAACTGATCTATTAAAGCGCTAAACAGGTCATTTCATAGTCTAGACTGGCTTTGAATCTTGAATGGTCTGAACTGGATTTCTGATAGGCTAAACTGGTACTGACGCTGAAAACCGCTGCTGGATTAAGTTGCTTTTTCTAATTGTTGAGACTTGTATTACCACTGGTACATTAGCGTTCTAAACTGGTTATTTGATGGTTTAGACAGTTATCTATGGCACTAGACGGATGACCTACATTAGAATGTGATAATGAAAGGCCAGTGTTAATGCTTTCAAGGCTCTCATTGAAAGGAGTCATTTTAAATCCCTTCTGTGCCTGACTGCTCCTCTGAGTCCCAACAAGCTTGTTCCCTAAAGTGTTTGGAAGAAATACTGCTCCAAAAACCTGAAAGTGTGTTTCCAGAATGTAATGTTTTGGTAACTCTTAGTGAATTAAATTTATAATTATCCATTATCTAGATTTATTTCTGTATTGTTTTGTTTATTGCCCCCCCCCTTTTTTTTATTGCAGCTGTCAAAGAGAATTCAAGCTAAAGTATATTAAATCAACTTAATACCCTAAATAAACTGGAGTTTTGATTATGTAAACTATGAACATTTATTTTACGCAAACGCTTGTGAAATGCTACGTGAAATGGTCTCAACTGGTATGCAATGCTTTTAATTGTTGTTGGTTTAAACTGTGTTTCCTGTGATCAATACTGGTACAACCAGTGAAAACCTTTTCCATTTTATTTGTTTCAGTTTGTATTTAAACAGTTGAACTTTGACGCACGTTTTTTAAGTTTAAACTTGTATGTTAAAGATCTAAACTGACCATTTGATGGTCTAAACCATAATCTATGGCTCTAGGCCTTGGTTTAAGATGATCGGTATATTTTATTTTATAAGACTTTCAATGGGAAACTATCACTTCTGTGCTTGACTGGCCCTCTGCATCCCTACAAACACGGTCCCTAAAGTTCGCAATGAGTTTGGAAGAAAATGCTTTTAGGTTTTGTACTCCAAACGACCTGGAAGTCTTTGACAGGGCCTCCAAAAATGAATCCTATGGTAACTCTTGTTCAATTTAATTTTACGATTATTTGTATATTAATTCATTTATTGGGCTTGAGTTTTACTTTAAGCGCTGAAGATATTTTGATTCCAAAATTTACTTTAAAGTTTGGGTGGCTTGAACTGGACTTTTAATAGTCTAAACTTGGCTTTAATGCTTGACAATGTAATTGCTTTATTCTGGCTCTAAAGTGGACTCAACTGCTATGTAATGTCTTCAATTATAGTTGCTTAGAAACTGATTTTTTATTGTGTATTCTGGTATGTAACTCTGAGGTTTACTGAGATGAGGATTTCCTTTTGGGTTATTTTTTCACCAGTGTAAGAAATAAACCTATTGTTGAGTGAGATTGTACATTTGTTACATCGAGTTTTGCCCAACTTTAGTTCAGATGTGTCGTTACATGAGATTGATTAACTTGATTAAACTTCTACCAAAGAAGCCTATGAATATGAAAGTCTATATTTATAATAAAGTCAGAATTTAAACAAACTGGAAGGAAAGATTAACGCATTATGCGTCATTTTTACACCTCGACAGCATGCACAAACTGATTAGTCGACGTCCGGATGTGGATGTTAGCCGATAGCTTAGCTATCAGGTTCAAGTTACATAATAAACTTTTTCTTCTGAGTATAAAAAGTAATGTTTTTTAAAAAACAGAGGGGTCAGATATCTTATTTATTTAGGCAATGATGGGCCTTTTTTTTAAGGTAATCCACACAGATTAGCTTGTGTGATAATCAGACGCATCAACACCAGAACATTTCTGATTTATAGTGTTAGCTAGCTAATGGCACTGTGGTTTTCAAATCTAAAATTGGTCATTAGATAACATTTTTCTTTTTACCCCTAAAAAAATGACAGAAATCTAAATTTTGTTTGGTTGTGTCACGACGAACACGATACAGAATCCAACATGGCTACCAGAATTCTCCACTACAGACATATTCAGCTTAAGACTTTCTGCTGCTTGAAAACATTTTAAATCTGCTTTATGTAGATGCTGTTCTGTTAGATATGTGGGGTTATTTATTCAGACGACACACATCTATGCAAGTACAGTTGGTATTTTCTTTTAAATTTTCTGATCTGTTTGAGGGTTAGCACTTTGCTTGTCGATTAAGAAAACTGATCTAATGCATTTGAATTGTGACTGCTCTGAAAGTTCAACCATATCATACTGACAGTCGCTTCATGACTGAGACTAAAATATTTTTTTCTTAGCTTCTGCAAAATCAGCATTTAAAAAAAATAAAGCTAGCAGGATTTAAACCAAGTTTAGGTCTGATTTCGTATCATGTTTCTGTTAATCATAAACTATTTTTAAAAACCTGTCTTAACTTTTGTCACGCTTTTAGAAGGGAGGTGATGCCTCTGCAATTCTTCTATTTCAAATCTATGTGTAGAACTTCAAAGTGTGTTCGGGGTCTTACCAGCCGGGGAGACCATTGAGGCGAGGACCAGCAGGCCAGATATCCACATCTGGAGCGCCATCCCGAACCAATATCCCCAGACGACGTTGTTTCTTCAAACTGGTTTCGGCGATGAAGTGAGATGACTGAACTAAACTAGTATCTTCCTTCTCTGTTGCCTCGATGTGGAACAGGAAGTGGTGAGGAGCTGCTGTGCCAGGTGACACTCAGCGACACACTTACATCAACTTTTCTCCCACACATGAACACACTCTGTAGCACACATGGAAAAACAAATTCAGCCTCTTCTTTTGCCAGCTATTCCTGCTTTTGATGTTTACACGGTTATGTAACTGAGAGTAAATCTTTTAAAATAAATCTGAAGCACTCTTTGTTTACATTATTTATATCACCCTTTCTCTTTTTAAGGCTGGTTTTCAGTGCTAGAGGCTGTGTAGATCAGTTTCACTTACAGGTTGTCACTTTTGAGTGTAAACTCAAGACATTTTAATGTGCTGGGTACTAAACCATGACCTTTACTTTATCTTAGTCAAGTGGTTTTAGTCCCCAATCCAAATCAAACAGAAAGTAAAAACTAAGCAACTCAAACTGTGGTTTCCTGATGGTCTCTCTGCCACCACTACTTTGTCAGGACTTTTACCCAGGATTTAGTCAAGTACCACAACTAGTGCAATCACCAACTGTGTTCAGAAAAACTGACACAACATCTACAGCCAATGAAATGTATTTCAAAATCACTTCCTCAAACCGTAAAGTTCCCTCCATATATAAAGAGATTTACTTGCAGCTGGCAACTGGACTGGATGACAGAAGGACAAAACTGTCTGGCCAATTGTTGATTATAGTTGAATTTCAAGGCTTGTTTTGATTAGATTACTTTCCAATTTATTTACCCCCAGCTCATATGAAGCACCAATATCCTTTGCTTCCACTGGTAGTTATTTCAGTCCATTTTTGTTATTTGTGTCAAAGCTGAGAGAAGTTCAACTCAAGACTTGCCTACTCAATAATGCTAACAGTTAATTTGCCTGGATTTAAAATGTCTCTGGTGGCAGTGTTTATGCTAGTCGTCCTTGGCATCATATCTGGTTAAAAGAATCAAAATGGTGACTGCCAAAGTGCTCAACTTGAGGTCTCAGAATAAAACCTCAATAAAGCTGTGGGACTCAAGCAAACCATAGTGAGAGCCATTATCCACAAATGGCTAAAACATGGAACAGCGGTGAACTTTCCCAGGAGTGGCCGGCCAACCAACATTTTCCCAAGAGGACAGTGACGATTCATCCAAGAGGTCACAAAAGACCCCAGATGGCTTAATGGTTTCTAAAAAACAAAACAAAAAACAAAATTAAGACTTTGTAGTGGCCTAGTCAAAATCCTGACCTCAGTCTGATTGAGATGCTGTCGCATGACCTTTCATGTGCTGGTGTTGATGCATCCCCGCTTGAAAATGCTCCAATGTGGCTGAATTGCAACAATTCTGCAAAGATGAGTGGGCCAAAATTCCTCCACAGCGCTGTAAAAGACTAATTGAAAAGTATCCCAAACACTTGGTTGCATTTATTGCTATTAAGCTAGTAGGTTTAGGGGGCATCACTTTTTCTTACAGTGCTACGTGTGTTTGTGGACATCCTGCCCCCCCAATAATAAATACCTTAATTTAGAAACTGCATTTTGTGTTAACTTGTGTTATCTTTGTCTAATAGGAAACCAGGAAGGGGGCAAACACTTTTGTACAACACTGCATGTGGATATGTATGGTCTATGGTCAGGAAAGCAACGCCAAAGTACATCTCATTATTGGAGATGTCAACACTAGTGGCCAGTGTTTTTTGGCTGGATCTATCAAATTAGTAGTTGCTTTCATCACTTGCATCTGATGACTCCACCTCTTTGGGCTGTCGGGTTGGCAATTGTCTTTCTGTTTCCTGTTGCAGGTGCATAATGGGTGTAGTCAAGAAGGCCTGTATTCCCATAAAAGGACATTCTGAATAACAGTTTATTTTCATGTCTACCCAAACAACATTTCACTCACTACGCCAGCAAACATGCCAATATGACTGACTCATGGACTGACACAGCTCATGGTTGTTTCCTTCGATTACTTTATTTAGTTTTGTAAATTTCAAATAAAAAACTTGATGGTGTCAGCTCAGAATTATTTGTCCAGTCATGACAGATCAAAACTGAAAACTTGAAGTCAGAACTGCCCAATTTACTTTCAAAAGAGGATGTCACGAATCAGCGAAAGAATATATCTGGGACATCATTGTCAGTAGTTGAGCCAAATATCTTTTATAGAGGTGACTATTAAGCATCCATCGTGTTCAGGTCAACGCAGAGTAGGCCCAGGGTTCTTAAAGTATGACCAGTAGGTCAACAGTGGCCCTCAGCAACAGTTTCAACTCTTACCTATCATCCATAGCTTATGAGTTACAGCTGCTGTCAAGAACTGAGCAACATAACCCACCATTCTCGCCAGTTCATAGGATAATTATAATCTATATAGTGGATATAAGAGTTCTAGGAGGATCTGTTGTCCTCTGAATGCTGAATGCTTTTAAAAATATGTATCTTGGTGATGGTGTTAAAACCATGAGTGATAGGTAAGTGGTAGATATGGCCAAAAATCCTGGTTTTTGCTCCATTCTGACTTTCATGTTAACATAATTAACTCAGTGAAGCTCATGTTTCATTCAGAGACCACAAACTCATTAAAGAGTCAGAGATTAAGATGCTCTTACTGTCATTTACTTTCCATTTTATTTACTTCTCATTTATTGTTTAAAAATATTAAGCGATTAAATTGGGTTATGTGGATAAAATAATGCAAATAAACATCAAACCACAACCATTCAAAATAAAATAAAAAAAACTAATTATGCATTGAAAATGAATGAAGATAAATAAAATAAATACATACAGCTGACAATAAGTTGGTGAAGTAAGTCTAAATGTGTTAAAAAACAAAAACAAATAAAACACAAAACAGATGAGGAGGCTTTAATACAAATCTTTATTTTTCTTTCAAAAAAATAAAATTTCACAGCAAACACTTACAGCTGTTATTCAGCTTGAAGAAGCAGCAGGTCATAATGTTATTAATAAAGTTATGTTTAAGGCAAATAATCAAAGCTCCTCCCCTTTCAGCAATGCCTAAATAAGCTATGTTTGCAACAAAGGAAAAAGTCCCGCCTATAAGGAGCCTAGTTATTATTATTCTAAACAAGAAGCATGAAGGAGGATCTGGGGTTATTTGATTCACTAATATCTAAAAAAAAAATAAAGATTTTCTTTTAGCATATAAAAAAACTTTACTACATCACCCACAAGTAATAAACAGCCTGTTACTGGCAAAGACTCAAGGGAAATGTAGTTAGTGTGGTTACTGATGTCTCCTGCTGTTTCATTAAAAATGATTTGTGTTCCATAAAGTGCTATTTGTGGATTTACAAAGTACATTATGTGCAAATCTTTTCATACTGCACATTTAAATCGGTTAGTTAAACAGCATCCAGGTCAAAGGTCAAATACAAAAGTTGATGCTCAGAAAAAGATTTGTTCTGTTTTAAAGTGGTGCTAAAGTTTGCCTACAAACATATATTCCATTAAAAAATTTCCTATACAAGTATTTATCGATTTAATCCTCCTCTGGACTGGCAGCTTTAACTTTTCAGCGTGACGTCTCCCTCTGCTGGTCAAACTCCACCAACACACTTGGCTTTTTAATAATGTTTAAATCTGCAAAACAACAATAGTCTTTTCAAACACCTGAGCACACACACATTCACAGAGTCATTTGAAATCTTTTTAAGTGAATCAAAAGAAAGAGGAGATTAAAATGTAACACTGACTTCTGATGCCTGAATGTCATCGAGTGTTTCAGCTGCAGGAAAGAAAAGCTCCAAACGCAACAATTTAAGTCTGAGTTAAAGACAACTTCTGTGTTTAGGACACTTCATCTGATTTTGTTTGCCTGTTTTCAGAAACAGAAGCTTTCAAATCTAAAATTAAGAATAAAGCAGGCATGATGTAAATGACGTGGATTCAGCGGTTGGATAAATTCATGGATTCGTAGCAGATTAATCGGCGTGTAACTCCTGAGGAGGATTTTGCATCTCGTACATTCTGGTTGCGGGGTTCGCAGGTTCGAATCCTGAACAGAATAAAAAACAAAATGAGCAGAAAAATTAACAAGACGATGGTTTAACTGCACATCTTTAAACGGAGGCGTGGTGTCAGCTCCAGCAGGAAGTGATGGACTACAAACAGAACAGTAGGACTACAAACCATCAGTGGTGCTTCCTGTACGGCGTTGCCTGGAAATACTCATCAGGAGTGACGGTCTTCACCCCGCCAAAGTAATCCAACACCCACACCTGAAACACAAGGAAGGAGGACCAGCCTGCTGACTTCATGTCACATGATTGGCTGAGAGCAGCACAGGTGTGCACTCAGGACTACAAGTGCTACAGTAATGATAGAGCTAGTATTACAAGGTGTGTGATGCTGGAGTACCTGTAGTATTAGTGGTATTATTATAATTTTTAATAATAGTACTATGGCAGTGTCTTTCTAGTATTATAAATAGCTCAGTTCTGCTTTTGTATCAGTAATATTATTACTGTAAAATTTCTGGTATTACTAGTTTCAAGTTTTAATGTCAAGTACAGATAAACCGAGTAGCCACATTTAGCCATAATGAAATTCTTTGGCTCGTGTCCTCAGCTTTACATGAGCATACAGAAGTGCGCAGAAGTGTGAGTTAAATGTGTGTGTTAAATTAAGAAGAAAATAACAGAAAATTTAAGAGAATTGAAGTCAAGTTGATATTTATAGTTTGTGTGACAGTATTTACAGGTTGAATTACTACTGAGTTACTACTAGTGGCAGGTGGTAGTACTTCTATTATTAGAAGTATTGTGTACTACCTGTATCTGTGTGGTGTTTTAGTGTTAGTAGTATTATCCATCATTATTATACCATCGTTATGATAGTGTAGTATTATAATATATACTTATAATATATATTGAGTTGTTTTAAACAAGTAGTATCATGGATTTAAAGTGGATTATTATATCTGATATTTGTGTCATGTTTTAAAATGACAACAGCATAACAGAAGCATGAGTGTACTGCACGTTCACATTTAACTTGTA